ATCCAAGTTATGGCAATGAGAAAATAAAGATTATAATGGATTTGGTGTCGTCTCATTTTTTTGTGAACATTCAATCCCATTTTGATATTCGGATCAAATTCCTTGTAAAAGTTTAAATCCACACCATCTAATTTCACAGAAAAATATTTTGCAAGAGTGAAAAGGTGAAGAACATGATGGTGGCATGAATTAAATTGCTAAAAATTGTAACTATTATGAGATTGCCGTAAAACAACCAATTTATAATTTTCATCATGAAAAATTATTTCTACTATTTAATACTGATGATGATGGTGAAGTGAAAGGATAGTGATGTAAAACCACTCCGAAAATCAAAGGACCATTTGTTGAATATTTTTTTCCTTGAATCATAAAAGTGGTTTGCATTCATTATTCTTAGGTATCTTCTGGTGGAATCTCAGTTAGCTCGTCCTTCATTAAATTGTCATAATTTCCTTTTTTCTTTAGCCATTGATCGACTCATCTCGTAACAAGTTAGTTCTTCTTGCTTTTCAAATATATCTCCATTTCTTCTTTTTGGACTTGCTGTCAAGAAAATCTTTTTGCATTAAAATAGTGAGCTTAATCAATTATAACTATATCCAACCCTTTTGGTAAACTTTCTATACATTGAAATCCAGGATTTGGGTGTTAACAATGACCAGCTCTTGGCGTGATGGTTGCAACGAAGCTTATTAAATGCGTTGGACAAGTTTGTTGTTTTCGAAATAATATATGGTTCTGGAATTTTGTGGGCTATACTTTCAAAGTAAGTAGAAGTGAATACCAACACTTATCTAGAAGATGTTTTGGTGAATGGCTGGTGTAGAAGGAAGCAAAGGGAGAACTCTCACGGTGCAGGTTGGATAAATAGGTTACCTATTTAGCAGGGTGATGATGAAATCATGATGAGTAATTGTTTGTTGTTTTTTTTTGTTGAATATTTAACGGTCAGAACAAACAACTTTCAGCGGTGATGGTTGGCGCGAAATCTTTGACCTAGTGAATGTTAGTGAACCAAGAGAATCATGACTTGAGTTATAAGTGGATGTAGAGCAATAAATATTCAGAAATAGTATCAAAACTGATTGAAAGTTAGGAAGTTTCCATTTATTTGTTAAACAATGTTTTTAGAGAATAGAGAACCAAGCCAGTCAACCCAATTTTCACAATAGTTTTCAATACTTTCCAAATAATAAACAAAGTTGGAGAAAGAGTTTCCTTCAGCATTTCATCAATATCCAACTTGGTTGGGATTTCTCTTTTAGAATTGAGATTAAAACTTCTATTTCCTTGAAGTTTTTCATCGAATAGAGATCGCAATAGGAATGAGGCAACATCCTGACGAGTAACTTTGGATGAACCTTTCGGATAATTATTATCCTCTCCATATTCGAAATCTAGAGTTATTGGTGAGTCCACCAATTGAGGAGGTCTTACAATGGCATAAGTAATTTTGGAATCTTTGGTCAATTGGCACAAGGTTCTTTCAGAATTTGCCAAATCTTGATAAACATTGTGGATAATATACTTTTTAAGGATATTATCAAAAAACCATGATTGTTTCACATCGAGAATGCCAGCCGACGTAATAATTGCAATTCTCATTGGCTATCC